TGGGGCATATGCACTGCCCATGCCTGTTTTACAGGATGATAATCGCATCAGGAATGGGACAGACTTAATTAGATTGAGGATCTTGGAAGAAAGCTGTAATCCCATTGCTGAGCTTGGTGTCAGACTGGGCATCTGGCCAGTGGAAGGTGTTAGGGGAGGTGCTGGGCCTGGCGGGGCCTTCAGCTCAGACGTGAGGGAAGCAGCTCGGTCCCGGAGCTGCCTGGGCCCCAGTGAGGGCCAGGGAGTCCCTGGGGAGCAGTTCCAAGGCCAGTGTCTGCCCTGTGCAGTGGGGCTGCCTGGAGGATACAACAGCTGCGGTGGCAGTGAGCAGCAGGTCGAGGAGGGAAACGCTGGCAAGGCTTTAGGTGACAGGGCCTGAGGCTGGGAGAGTAGCTTGAGCAGCACTTAGGGAACACTGTCCCACATGTGTCAAACTGTCACCCTTCCTACCTCCTATCCTGGCTTGTCAGTGCTGGGAGTGTGGAGGCCTGAGTGCTGCCAGCCCTGGGAGGTGGCTGGGCTGGGCTCTTGGAAGCACTGGTGCTGATGGTGAGGTGCTCGTGTGCCACAGGAGTCCAACGGCCCCACGGATGCCTACGCAGCCATAGCCAAGGCCGACCGGCTGACCCAGGAACCCGAGAGCATCCGCAAGTGGAGGGAGGAGCAGAAGAAGCGCCTGGAGGAGCTGGGTGAGACCCAAGGCCATGTGTAGCCCCCTGTTCTTGTGACATGGCAGTCAGGGGTCCCTCACTTCTTGGTGACCCTGCTGTATCCCAGAGAGATGTCTTGTGCCCCTGCCAAAGATCTGCTGTCCTTGGGGCAGTGGTGCTTTTTGGCCAGTATTGGTGGGGACTGGGGACAGGTGTGAGGGGCTGCAGCTGTCCTGCCTGCAGAGGGGCTGCTCAGCACACCCAGCAGGTGCCAGTGTGGCTGATGGGCTCTGTCTCCCTCGGGCCTTAGATGCAGCATCGAAGGTGACTGAGCAGGAATGGCGTGAGAAGGCCAAGAAGGACCTGGAGGAGTGGAACCTGCGTCAGAATGAGCAGATGGAGAAGAACCGAGCAAACAACAGGTATGTTGGGGTCAGCATGGCCAAAAGGACTGTCTGTCTTCCTGGGATGTTTGAGAGCCTCTTTCCCCACAGAGGGATCCAGCCCTGCAGGGACAGAACCTTGCCAAGCAAGGGGAGAGACCCCAGGTCTTGGAGTGGCACTGGTGGCTGTGCAGAGTCACTCTGGCTGGAACCACACTGGGATCACCCTGGGATCTTGGTGCCTCCTGCGCTGCAGGGGGCTTGCAGGGGGGCAGGGTTGGGCTACAGGTTCTCCTGGTGTGCTGAAGTGTGCGGGTCACTCTTTGGGAGGACTAACCCCCTCTGTTCTCTCTTTCTAACCCTCTGCCTGCCTGTCGCTCCGCTCCACTCTCTCTCTCTCTGTGCCCGGGGCTAGGATCGCTGACAAAGCCTTTTACCAGCAGCCGGACGCCGATGTCATTGGCTACGTGTATGTGCCTCTTACACACCATATCCTGCCCCACGAGCTCTGGGGGTCCTGCCTCCAGCACTGCCTACCCTGCCAAGGGAAGGGGGGATGCTGGGAGGTACTGGGCTGGTGAGGTACCAGAGGGAGGATGATGCAGCTGAGTGTATCCAAATGGTGGAGTTTTAGGAGATGAGTGGAGCTCCTAGAAATGCCTCTGTTGGGACCTGGTTGAAGATGCAAGGCCATGGGCTTTTATGCCTCTTTGGGGATGGCTCTGCGGGGATGAATTATTAGGAGCAGGCAGATACTCCTGCACCTCTGGATGAGTGATATTTTGGGTGAGTACAGCCAAAGGCAGACTTGAGCATTGTGTGTCTCTTGGTCCCAGAGGACACTGAGCTCATCAGCTGGAGTAAAGGGACAGGAAGCAGGGACACAGGGGTTTTTAAGACAGAAGGGTCTCCTTGGAAAGGGATCTGCCAGTGACAACCCTCAATATCTTTGCAGGGCCTCGGAGGAAGCATTTCTGAAGGAGTCCAAGGAGGAGACCCCAGGCTCTGAGTGGGAGAAGGTGGCCCAGCTGTGTGATTTCAACCCCAAGAGCAGCAAGCAGAGCAAGGATGTGTCGCGGATGCGCTCGGTGCTCATCTCTCTCAAACAGACGCCCCTGTCCCGTTAGCTGTGCCTGGCACAGCCGGGAGCACAGCGGGCATGGCTGGGCTCACTGTGCCAGGTGGCTTCAGGGGCCGGCCTGGGAAAGGCCTCCCACTGCCTGCTCCCTGATCTGCGCCTCGGCTGTGCTCGAGTCACTGGTTGTATAACTCTCCCCATGGTTTTCCTTTGCTTAAAAGGTGCATTGGTCTCTTTTTACACTTATTTATAAATCACTGTGGCATTTCCCTGGGAAGCGGCACTGGGTGGCAGAGCTGAGTTAGTGGGGAAGCCCCAGCCCAGGCTCTTCAGGAGGTTATGTCTGAGAGCCTGGCTAAATGAGCAGGGAGTAGCCCATCCTGTGTTCCCCACTTCACCCCTGTGCTGGGAATAAACCTGCCTGCAGCCGTCCTGGTAGCCCCATGTCCAGGCTTCAGTCCTAGCCCTGAGGCAGTGATCCCAATGGGATCCTGGGCTGCTGTCTGCCTTTTCCATGGGATTTAGAACAGAGCTGGAGCAGGATTGGGAGGGTGGAGAAACAGCCGTGCTTGTCTCCACACTGCTGGGTCCTGCAGGGAGCATGGCTGCAGCAATGCATTGCCAGACTGGCAGGGACTGAGCAGTGTGAGTACAGGCACCCACCTTGGGCCTGGACTGCCAGCAGCTGCCTCAAACCCATCAGACCTCTGCCCAGCCTGGCTATGCCCTGAAAAGTGGATGCACCTCCATCCATCCTGCAGTGCTGGCAGCACAGTGATGTGGGCCACTGGGAAGGGACTTTAGGGGGAGTGTGCAGGATGTTTCCTGTCCTTCCCCCATGAACACCAGCAGTTGGGAATGTGGGATGCCAGGCTTTGGGGGACCATTGGCTTTGCTCTGCTCCTTCCCTTGCTACCAGAATGGGAGATGGAGGCTGTGTAGTTGCAGGGAAGGAGGTAGGAAGGTCCAACTGCTCTGGGGCAGGTCAAACCCCCATCTTCCTAATCCAGAATTGGGCAAGAGTTCTGGTGCTGGGGCTTGTACTGGCCCTGAGAACAACCTGCACATCTGCTCTGCAGCTGCTCTGCCCCCTGGATTTGCCCACCTAAGGCAGTGTGGGGAGATGCCTCAGTCCTGCTCCCTGCTCGAACTTCTTCTCCTCTGCTTGGCAGGGATGGCACCAGTCCTAGAACCTGCACAACTCCTGGGTAACAGGAGAGGGACAGCCTTGAGCTGGTGCTCTGGGTCTGGCCTGTTGAGGGCTTGGGAAGGGCTTGCAGCAGCTTTGGGGGACACAGAGCAGAGCCCACAAAACATTCACTTGAGCTTCTCTGCAGAGCCCTGCTCAGCTGGAAATCAAGTGTGAGAGCTCTCCTGCCCTGCAGCTGCAGCCCCAGGGCCAGAATGTCACCAGTCCTGCTGCTGCAGCTGTTGGGGGGTGCTTGGGCATGATCTCACCAGTGGGCTGGGAAGGGAAATGGGTGTGTAGGGAATCATTCGGTGTTGTGTGTTGGGACTGTGCCCCCTGCCCATAGGGCTGATCGTTCCTGCCCAGGCCCCTGAGCTCCAGCATGCGTAGGCAGCTCTGCTGTGCTGCAGGGCACCTGGGGACTCGGCTGCCTCAGCCTTGCATTGCACAGCAGCGGGAAGCAACCCTGGCTACTTGTGGGGGGGCAATGTGCCCCCCCTGTGCTCTGTCCCTGGGTGCCCCAGCTGCCATGTGCTCCATGTCAGGCCGGGGCAGCTCTCGGGGAGCCGTGCCCACAGCTGTTCTACATCCCCTCGGCTTTGGTATCTGTGACTGTCCAAATTACCTGTTACAATAAACCAACATCTCCAATCCTACAGGGCACTGTCGTCTTCCTGCATTTGGGATGCATGCTGTGTTTAGGAGAACCTAGAGCCATGATGCCTTGTGTGGAAAGGATGGGGGCTGGGGGAGAAACATCCTACAGGAAAAAAAAGGAGTGAGGGGAAGGCTGGAGGGTTTGTGTTTGATGGGGCCAAAGCAGTGGTAGCAGGACCTGGGGCTTGGCTCTGTCCCCAAGGAACTGCAAGCTCTGGCTTGTCCAAACACACTGAGCTGCTCCCCCATCCGCTGGCTGGGCTGGAAGTGCCAGTGAGGCAGCCAAAAGCAGTTTCCTCTGGGAAAGATGTCCAGCACAGGCAGCTGGAGGGAAGACAGGCCCTGGGCTCCCCATGCTGAGGTAGAGCTCACCCTGTTCAGCACTGGTAATGGCTTGTTGCCCACCCTCACAACTCAGAGATCGGCTCTGGTGAGCAAGAGCCTTCCCTGTCTCCTTGCCAAAGCCCACCAACACAATTCCCTGGACAGAACAATCTATGTGCTTGTGTGCAGATAGAGGCTTCACCCCTCAGCCCATCCTTAAAAAGACTCAGGGCACAGGCACCAATTCACAAAACAGCACCTGGAAACAGCCCAGGCTGCTTGGTGAGGTGTTTCAGCACAGACAGGTGTCTGTGCCCCTTCCCCTGTGGCTGCTGCAGCCACAGTGCAATAAACAGAGATTGTGGCCCCATGTCCTCCCAGCTCTATGGCCCTGGCATGGGAGGGATCACCAAACCCCCTGGTATGATCAAAGCCAACAGTGGGACCATGTTTGTCAGGACACAGGCAGTACAGGTCCTTTGGAGAAGGTGTTGCTGACTCCCCAGCAAGAACACCCAAAGCAGCAGCACATCCCAGAGAACACAGCCAGACCCCATTTCAGAAATGTGAGTTCCCTGGTAGTTTTCACAGGGAGTTTCATGTCTTGTTTCTTCTTACATCATCACAGCTTTATGACAGCCATGCCCACTCCTTTTTCTCCCTGCACTGTTTACTGTTATGGCTTCTCAGTGCTCTGCAATCCAGTATCAGTCAGAATCTTGCTGCAATTCACTTTATTACTCACCAGGTTCAATAGAACAGGTCACACAAACCTCCCAAGTGCCTCCCCCGCTGCCTATGGACTCTGTCCTGCTGGGACCAAGCCATAAGCAGTGGTTCCTTCCCCCTGGGCAGCTCATTTCTCAAATGCTGGTCACTGCCTGATTACAACCACACCTCAGACCACGACCAAGAAGACACAATTCAATCAGCCTGTGACAGCATCAAGCAGGAACAAGAAGTCTGACAGGGGTGGTGAACCTTAGTGACATGCAGCCTCGGTGCTGCAGGAGGGTGAGCTCTTGGGGAAACAAAAAGAAAAAGCCACAACCTAAATCACATGTTAATCACAGAGTGTATTCACCCCATTTCCAGTGCTCCAGAACTGGCTCTGCCGAGACATCACAACAGTCTCTCAGAAAGCTCCATCCGCAGCCAGGATGCTGGTAGACGCCCGTGGCCGCAGCTTGGCTCTTGTCCCGTCACTGTCGCGATTTGAGAGCCGTGGCCACCATGCCCCCCAGCAGGGCGGCGAAGGTGCAGCCCTGGGCTATGACACGCGCCCGCATCATCAGCTGGGAGCGCCGAGTGTGGCCTCGCTTGAAGCAGATGATTCCGTAGACCAGGACGCTGACGGTGCACAGGCAGCCTGCGGAGAAGGACGCGGGCTGTGAGGCGAGGCGGGAGCGCTGCGGGCCGGCCCCACCGAGCCGCGCCTCCCCGGGACAGCCGGCCCGGGGCTGAGGGACCGGCCCCTCACTCAGCCGCCGTCCCACCACCCCCCACCCCACCCTCACCGAGGGGCACCAGGGGGTTCTCGCGGGTCTTGCGCACGAATTTCTCCGTGAATCCCTCCTCAGGGAACGTGGGCAGCAGGTTGGGCTCCAGCGGCGGGGGCGGCCCGGCCGCCATGGCCAAGGTGACAGCAAGGCCCTTTCCGGCTGCCGTAGCCCCTCCTCCGAAGCAGTGTATGCCGGGAGTTGCAGTCCGCCGCGCGCACTTACCGCGCGGCGCTGCCGCCTCTCGGAACTACAGTTCCCGTGGTGCCGCGGGGCGCAGCCGGCAGCCCCGTGGGCAGCCCGCGCGTGGCCGCCATGCCGAAGGCCAAGGGGAAGACCCGGCGGCACAAATATTCCTACAACCTCAACCGCAAGCGGCTCTACCGCAGCGCCCGCCGCCGCGCCGCGCCCCGCATCGCCTGGTGAGCGCCGGGGACACGGGGGGCGAGCGCGGGCGGGCGGCCGGGAGCCGCTGCACGTGTCGGTGGGGAGGGGGGCGCAGCCGTGATGTCGCTTGTCCCCGCGCAGCTCGCACATTCGCCATGCCTGGGACCCGCACAAGTCGGTGGCGCAGAACCTGGCAGAGATGGGTCTGGCCGAGGATCCCAACAAGGCTGTCCCCATCCCGAGGAAGCTGCTGGTAAGGAAGGGTTTGGCTGGGATCGCTCCTTTGTGGGGGGAGGTATCCTCGCAGCACTGGGCGGGTGGCTCTGGGTAAGTCTCTGGTGGTGCACGCGTTTTTTATCTTGATCTACACGCTTATCTCACCAAGATCCTGGCGTGGGAACGAGCTACAGCGCTCCTGGGACATAATGGGCTTTAGAACAAATATAAAAAACGTCAATCCTGGGACTTGCCAGAGACAGGTGGGGTTGGGAACGCTGCAGCCAAGTTGCTCCTGATAACAAAGAAGGGCTCTTTGTGCACACCAGTGCCAGCCTGGCCCATCTACGTAAGAGGGCAATGTTTTCAGGTGAAAGGTGGCTCCAAGAAGCTCAAGGAAGAAGTAGGAATGACCTTGTTTGCCATTTGTCTCCATTCACACAGCGTTCCTCAGCTGACAGCCTCACCCACGAGCCAGTTTAATGGCACAACTAAGGCTTTGCTTAAGCCAGCTGGGATTTCCTGCCCCTTGCAGCCATGTAGAAACAGTTTGGAGTTTTGGGAACAATGTGTGGGGACACAGCACTCTTCCAATTGGGCTTTTCTTCATTTGTCTTTTCTCTGCTATAATTCAGGGGATGGAAGTGGACAGCGATGGACAACAGCCAGGAAAGAAGATAGTGCGGAAGCCATACGTGGTGAATGGTCAGTGCTGCACTTGGGGTTCTCCTAAGCCCCTGTGGGCTATTTTGTCATCCTGTGCTGTGCCAGGGGTAGGGAAGGGTGTTATTTCTTATCCAGTCTTGTGGAGGAGCATGTCTTTTCCACAGTGTTTGTCCCTGCAACCTCAGGAAGGCTCTTGTCACTGTGGGACGTGCAGGTGACAAGAGGCCATGGAGGCAGTACCTGGTGTTTCAGTGGTGGGCTGGGCAGCTCTGAGCAGTCACACTCTGCAGCCTGGGCTGAAAGGGTCTGCTCCTCGTATGTGAGCTGGAGAAGAGCTCAGTGCAGCACTGGAGGCCTGCAGCCTGAGCAGAGGGCTGTTGTCTGGGCCGTTTTCTTGCACCACCATGCTGGGAAATGTCCATGCATGCGCCAGCAGCCAAGCTATGTGGCTGGAATGACATGGGGGGGAGACTGGGGACCTCTGAGGTGTTGTCGCTTCCTTCCCCTCCCTCATGCTACCTCTGCCCTCTGCCTAGAGATGGAATTGGAGGCCAGCCTCCCTGAGAAGAAGTCAAACACACTCTCACGGGACCTCATTGACTATGTGCGATACATGATCCAGAACCACGGGGAGAACTACAAGGTACATTCCAGAGCAAGGAGCACCTGGAGTGATTCACTCCTGGATCTTCCATCAGCAACATGAGAACTGCTAATCCTCTCTGTCCTGGATCCTGTTGTGCAGTCAGCTGATTCTTAAGGGAAAAGATGCTTTGAACTGTGGCCAGCACCCTGTCTGAGTCAGGCAGTGATCACACTGGTGTGGGTGGGCTGTTTTGGAGTTTGCTTTTGGGGCTGCTCCTCTGATTTACCTTGTCCTTTGTCGCAGGAAATGGCTCGGGATGAGAAGAACTACTACCAGGATACTCCCAAACAGATTAAGAGGAAGATCAATGTGTACAAGAATTTCTATCCCGAGGAGTACAAGAATTTCATTGCATCACTCAAGCCAGAAAAAATGGAAGTGCAGTGACTGCTCTTTTTCCTCAGGTTTACCTGCAAGTGCAGGCTTGACATGAATATTTTCCAAACTGAATAAGTCTCTTGTGATGGAGGAAGAACCCTCACTAGGCAGAGGGGTTTTAACTATCCATGAAAGACTCTTTTGGCACCGGCTCTGACTGTGCTGTTCTGCTCACTTTCTGTGTGGCAGGCAGCGTTTCTTTAGCTTTGCTAAAATAAAATACTCTTTCTAGCTGCTTGTGACTGTCTTTGTGGCTCGTGCTTGGTGCAGTCCTGCTTTGGAGAGCTCCTGGTGCCAGCCTGTGATGTTGGCCTTGGGCACGTGTCTCTCCCTGCGCTGACAGGGCTGGATGCGGGCAGTGCTCGGACTTTTGCTGATTGTCCTGCAGGGAGTGTAGTATTTGGAGCAGGGCCATGTGCTGTGGCCTTCCCCTGTACCTGCAGCTTGGGAGAGCAGGCTCTGGGCTCCCTTCCCTGCTGAGGAACGGGAGGGCAGCACCGAGGTCACCCTTTCATTGATAGAGGAAGGAGCAGCTGTAGGAAAGCTGTCACAGTGAGACTGCCTGCCACCTACTCCTGTTCCATTATGGGCTTGCCAGCTTCCAGGACTGGTTTTCCTGGACCTGTCTGCAGGAGTTTTCCAGCAGCCTGTCTGCAGGAGGACAGGACATTTGGGCAGGACACGACCCCAGCCCCGCCACGGGGCCGTGGGTGCGCTGGGGACGCGTCCCGGCCCCGCCCGTCCGGTGAGCCCCGCCTTCTCCCCGAACTACACCTCCCAGCGTGCCCCGCGTGGAACGGCCCCGTCTCGCGAGACCGCACCTCTATAAGAGCACCCCCGCAGGCGCAAACCCCCCTCAGGCTGAGGTGGCTCGCGGAGGTTCCGCTATGGCCGCTCCGGGCCTGCTCCTGCTGCCCCTCACCGAGCTCCGCTGAGCCCCGCCATGAGCTCAGGGAAGCCCGACGCTCCCGGTAAGGTTCCCCAGGCGCTCCCCGCCGGCCCCGCTCGGGCGCGGCGGCGGGTGCTGAGCGCTGCGCTCTCTCCGCAGCGCTGGAGCCGGGCGGCGGGCCCCGCTCGGGCAGGATGTCGTTGCCCCTCGGCGTTCCGCGCCGCGCCTTCAGCTACGATGATGCCCTGGAGGACACGGCGCCCATGACGCCGCCGCCCGCCGATCTGTGCGCCGGCATGCTCTGGAAGCAGCCGGTCATCCCCGAGCGCAAGTACCAGGAGCTCTCGAAGGTACGGGCCCGGCGTGGCCTGGGGTACCCCGCAGCCCTGGCACCCGTCTCCTGGCATCCCCCTTTTCCCAAGCATTCCCCTCATCCTTACGCTCCTCCTGCCCTGCCCTCGCAGCAGGATCCTCAGGAGGGGCTGGGGACAGAGCCCGGCACTGCTGCCTGGTCTTGCTCTGACCACATGGAGATGTGGCTGGGACAAGCGTGTGCTGAACATCTCCTCCGTGTTTGTGGTTAAAAAAAATACAGCAACCAGGTGTAATTAAACTAGAGCACAAGGCAGATTTCGTTTGGATGTAAATCCTTTATAGTAAAGGTGAGGCACTGGCACAGTTTGCACAGGCAAGCTGTGGCTGCCCTATCCCTAGACGTGTTCAAGGACAGGTTGGTGGGAGATCTGAACAAGCTGCTCTAGTGGAAAGTGTCCCCCCACCATGGCCGGGGATTGGAACTGCATGATCTTTAAGATCCCTTCCAATCCAAGCCATTCTGGGATTCTATGGTTTGAGTGCAGGACCAGCCCTTTTAAATTTAGAGGCCGTTTTCTTAGTTTGAAATTAAGCTAAATGTTGTTGGATGGAAGAACTTAATTCTGTATCCCTTTGAGCTTAACCTCTACTTAACCTCCTTGGTTTTTAAATCTCTTGTGGGAGACAACCAAAAGTTGTGGTTTGGTACAAAAAGTAGACTCTCCAGTAGGGAACTCCTGTGTTGGGAGGAGGAAATCACTGTTTCACAGGATACTTTGTTTTCTAGCATTTCTTTTGTGTTTCTTTGCTGGGGTCTAGTGGTCAGTGGTCGAACTATGACCACCTGACACACTGAGCAAGAAACATAAGGAATGAGGTGGGAAAACAAGTTGTTCACTCCAGGCTGTGCTCTGTGACTGCCATTCTGTGAACAGCTGGTGCTTGAGCTGCCTGTGGAAGGTGCTCTTGGTGCTTTGCCCAGTTGACCTTGAAATCCAGTTTGCATTTAGGAGAACAGATGTTCTGGTTTCATTCCTGTTGACCTTTTTGTACTTGGACTAGCAGCTTGTTTGCTGTGAGCCTGGTAGGTGTTCAGATGTAAGGTGCTGACCATTCCTGGGCTGCAGTTTGCACAGCGTAGGGATTTCTCCCATGGGACAAAGGCTGGCTGCCAGAGCAGCATGGTCTTGTCCCACTTGTGTAGTTAGAGATGTGTCCTGGCCAGGTGCTGAGATACCTCCCCATCTCAAACTGTCCCTGCTGCTTCCCCACAGGATGAGGAGGGGGATGCCAACATGAAGCCTGTCATAACTCCTTCATCGTCCACAGAAAGTGTGAACAAGGTGCCTGTGGTGAAGGCCAAGGCCACTCACATCATCATGAACTCCCTCATCACAAGTAAGAACTTGCCTCTCACACTCTCATGTGTGGGTTGGGCATTTGTTGATGCCTTGGTGATGTCTCATGGTAATTCCTGGAGAACTCTTTGTTCAGACTGGCTCTGCTCTGGTGCTGTGTGGGTTTGTTTTCTTCAGAGGACATTTCTAGAAGGAAGCAAGGAGCTGGTGGAACATGTGGTGCTTCTGTGTTTCCAGGGGTAGGAGTGCAGAGTTTGTTGTTGCTGACAGGACACTGCAGTCCATGTTGCTGGAGTGCAGAGGCTGCTGCTGCTTTG